TATGCCATATGTCCGCACATTAAATTAAACTGTGATGGTTATAAAGAAGAAGGAGTAACATATCCATCGTCGTTTATGCAAGAAACTTTACTAACAGAATTTTACAAAGAATGTGGAATATCAACATCTTGTTTGGATTACGTTGAAGCACATGGTACTGCTACCAAAGCTGGCGATCCCCCAGAAATTCAAGCTATCGCTAATGTATTGTGTAAGAATAGAGAAACTCCATTAATGATCGGCTCTGTAAAATCCAATCTTGGTCATGCTGAATCTGCCGCCGGTTTCGATCAAATAGCTAAGGTAAAACAATGACGTTTGTTTTCAATTATTTTTATTATTAAAATTTGCTTCCATTTTACGCAATTACATTTTTTCTGATATACTTTTATTATAGAGGTGTGCAAATAGTTCGAATTCGAATCAAATCGAATCGAATCACAGTGGATTTGATTCGAGTTCGTTTTTGAAACTGTACGATTCGAAATCAAATAGTTCGAGAATTTTGAATCAACAATTGTTTGATTTTGAATCGATCGCCTATTTTATTTGCTTTATATCTGCCGCGCGATCAATTATTCTTATTTAATAAATAAATATTTTTGATATATGTAATGTATATATCCATGTAGATTAACATAGAAAATATTTGAAAGCATTCTAACTATTCGTATGTACACATTTTTAATTATATATTTTTTAGTTCAAAATGTCAAACATAATATCATAATTTTTTGTAATGAGATGTAAATCGAAAACAGGTCTTCAGTTTGTTTAAATCACGTTCTTCCGCCGTCCTTGGTTAAATAATGTAATTCATAAATTTGAATATTTATTACGTTAGTATATAAATAATAAAAAATATATAAATTAACATGTAATGTATATCTGGGAAAATTTGATTCAGATTTTATCTGTATTCAAATTAGAGAAATTTGATTTGATTCGATCATGCAATACTTGATTTGTACCTCTATTTCTAACTTATTCTAATTTCTTCGCTCTTCTTTTCTTTACTTTTATACATTTATACATTTGTCTATCTTTACATTTTTATACACTAATACGCTATTATACATTTATCTTTATATATATATATATATATATATAAGAACATTGAAATACTCACTGTTATCACAATTTTAAGTATAATATGTAATTACCCTGGTGAAAATAAAAATCGGTGCGTAAATCGAATATAACGAGAGAGTGACAGAAGCGTAAACGAAACTTTTAGGAGACGAAAATTGGAACAGCAAAATGTAAAGGAAACGTTGACGCCTTCTAAAAGTTTCGTTTACGCTTCTATCACTTTCTCCTTACGTTCGATTTACGTTCAAATTTTTATTTAATTAATTTAAATTTAAAATTTATTTTAATATTTAAAAAAAAAGATATTAAAATAAAATTAAAAAAATTAAATTAATTTAATTAAATTAAATTTCCTTTAATTGATTGAGGTGTAACGATGCACCCCCTTAAAGAACGTATCGTTCCTACACACGAAACCCAGCAGGAACCGGGCGCAGCGCGCCCGGGTTATCTTTTTCGCCACCCAGCAAAGCGCTCAGGAAATTCACCCCACTGAGTACTCCTTTTTTACAACCCTCCCGGAGATTACCGACGAGACGCGGAAACGTCCGAACCCGCGCCCGAGCGGGTATAAAAGCCGGGAGAACTTTCGACGAAGACACTTCTCGCTTGACTCGCTACCCGCCAGTCCGCCAGAAGACCTTCCGCTCCAGTACCGCAAGCAGCTCGCACAACCGGGGTCGAGAGATAGTTCTCGGCCTCCGCCTA